GACTTACTGATCTCGGCCAGTTTTCTCCTGCTGCATGCACCAGACCCCTTTAACAAATATTCAAATGAAGCGAACCCAGGCGGCCGAGAATCACGATTTTCAACAGTAACGTTCCTCTTAACTATAAGAATTAACATGCGTGCTTTATCTCCGCGTGACAGAAAATAAGACCGAAAACTATTGCATCGACTGTAAAAGTATGCACGCCTGCATGAAAAGTCACTTAACAGCCATGTCCACTTCTCAAGAGTCTATCAATTCAGTTGCTTATATAAATAAATCATAGTCGCTACGAATCTTTGCATGGACTCCCTCCCCATTTGAAGACATGCAACATCATCAGGGCATGCTGGAAAACTTGCGCACTACCCAAACTTCTCTCAGGGACTCAGACAAGTTGTCACACTCATAACACATGCTCAGAACACACAATTACTCTTTCATATGCATGATTAAGTTCGCCAGATCAGTGCAGTTGTGAGTGTTACGCACTACAATACAGCAGATTTTGAATCGGGTCACATTCAAACACATCTTGCGCTGAGATTACCGCTTTGATTTCTCTCCAATCCCGCGGGTAAAACGCGCCAAAAGTGCAGCTATTCCTCCTCTGGCAGCCCCAAATCCCATTCGCGATGTGTAAGAGAGTCTCTGGTGTTTTTACAGCTCAAGCTGCGCAGAAATGCAGTCAGTGAACGTCGCCATTTTTTCACCTTTTCCCGCGAATCATTTACGTTTTGCTTATGTAATTAACATAACCCGATCATCATCATCATCCGCGTACAGGAAGTACAGCAGCAGCGCTCTCGAGGAGGGGCTACAGAAGCACTGCTCCAATGACAACAAGACATTAAATGCTCTGATAGTAGCCTACAACGTGACAGGGGAAAAAACTGCAAGCCAGATATGAAACTCATTTGGAGTATGAAAGCGGACAACTGACATTATACACGAGATTTATCCAAATAGATAGAGAGATAGAAATAATACAGTAAAGTTATTAGACTTTCATATAGCTAATAGATTATACCTATTATCAGTGTTGGGGAAAGTTACTTTTAAAAGTAATGCATTACAATATTGCGTTACTCCATAAAAAAGTAACTAATTACGGTACTTCGTTACTGTTTATGGAAAGTAATGCGTTGCGTTACTTCTGCGTTACTTTTTCAAATCTGGACAGGGCTTGCTTGCTTGTTTGGTTTTAAAATAAAAAAGTTATATTTTTGGCAAATATAAAAGCCTTTTCACACCAAACGTGTAAAGAATAAGTCTCATGCTGAAGGGAAAGTACAGTAGAATGCAGAAGAAGAAATTTCAACACACGTTAGCACTAAAAAAAGACACAAATGTTTGTCTAGAGTAATTTTTGCTTATTAGTGTGGTTGAACTGGATCATCGAAGGTCAGAAGAAAATAGAATGGGATTAAATACATAAAGGATATTTGTGTTGTTTAACATTTAATTATTGCAGGTTTGCGTCATATTCTGAGTTGCATTATTTTTATTCATTTTGAGGAATACTGAATCTGTTTTGTTTTTTTGTGAGTGAGATTAATTAATGCATATTCATATTTATTTTAGAACTACAGTAACTAGTTACTTGAAAAAAGTAATCTGATTACGTAACTCGCGTTACTTGTAATGAGTTACCCCCAACACTGCCTATTATAGCCTATGTACTGTAGAACTCTTAAGTAGATGATAGATAGATAGATAGATAGATAGATAGATAGATAGATATGCATTACTGATACTTTGAGCATGATATAATGTTTGTTAATGTTATGAATGTTATAAAAAGTGTAATGGTTTTGGTGAGTGAATGTGAGAGATGTGACGGAGAGAGTGAACTGTCAGCATATATGTTTTCAGCTTCAGTGAAGGTTTGCTGGCAGTGCAACTGTCATAATGCAGTTACATTTTTAACACATAACAGGTCATACTTGCTGGCATAACAGTAATATTCTAGTGTTGGGTCGTTCTTGAACGATTCGTTCGTTTTGAATTCATCTCGAGTCTTCGGGTTTTTCGAGTCGTTCGTTCATCACGTGACAGCCCCATAAGCTTACCCTATGCAGTCTGAGCCGGAAAGAGAATTGATTAGTTCATCTCGAGTCTTCGGGTTTTTCGAGTCGTTCGTTCATCACGTGACAGCCCCATAAGCTTACCCTATGCAGTCTGAGCCGGAAAGAGAATTGATTAGTTCATCTCGAGTCTTCGGGTTTTTCGAGTCGTTCGTTCATCACGTGACAGCCCCATAAGCTTACCCTATGCAGTCTGAGCCGGAAAGAGAATTGATTAGTTCATCTCGAGTCTTCGGGTTTTTCCGAGTCGTTCGTTCATCACGTGACAGCCCCTTAAGCCCAAACCCTAAGACTTGTCAGATAAGAGGAGGTGAGCTAATCATAGACTGAAGACTCAGGTAAACAATGAATTAATATTTTCTGTTTCTTATAGCAGTTTTGTATTGTTTGTAGTGTGATCAACGTTTGCGTAAGTAGTAGACATATTAGGGAAGTAACACGTAACATTTTAATTATATTTTGTTAAAATGAACGAAATGAACGAAATGACTCGAAAAAAGATTCGTTCATTTTGCTGAACGAGACTCAAAGGTCCGAGTCGGTAAAATGATCCGAACTTCCCATCACTATAATATTCTTAGATTTCTGTGAAATTTGGACATGGCGATTCAGGCAGACATCACAAGGTCATGGCAAGCTGACTAAATGAAAATTTTTATGTCGCAGAACAAAACTACCCATACACTTGGGGCTATGAATACCACATGACTAATTGTATTTAGTTATTTGATGCAGTGTTGATTTGTACATATTGAACAAAGTGACCCTTTCAACTGTGAGAAACCACCTGTTCTTTTCTTATCTCTCATTCTGCTTGAAGAGTTTTTGATTTTGTGAACATTTGATTGTGTTTGAGACAGGAGGGGATAAAATAAATAAAAATAAAAGTTAAAAAAGTCAGGAGGGGAAAGTAGCTGGAGTTTTTCTCTAAAAACTGCTAGCTGAACTGGGTTGATTTTTTTTTTTTTTTTGGCACACATTCCTGTAAGTGTTAACAATAAGGTAACTTGTTGTAGAATGCAAGGGAGAAAAAATATTGCCACAGCTACAAATGTTATACTTTTTATGAATACATTAAGCTGATTTTGCACAGCAGCCACTACACGCATGTGTTCGTTCAGTAAAATTTCCAAATAGGAAATAACATTTCATATGCAAAAAGTGTGGTTAGCATCGGATGTTCTGTGAAAAAATTATGCATCTTTATAGTGAAAATACATATTTAAAGGGGTCATATGATGCTGCTAAAAAGAACATTATTTTGTGTATTTGGTGTAATGAAATGTGTTTATGCGGTTTAAGGTTAAAAAAAAACATTATTTTCCACATACTGTACATTATTGTTTCTCCTCTATGCCCCGCCTTTCTGAAACGCATCGATTTTTACAAAGTTCATCGTTCTGAAAAGCGAGGTGTGCTGTGATTGGCCAGCTATCCAGTGTGTTGTGATTGGCCGAATACCTCAAGCGTGAGACGGAAATGTTACACCCCTTACCATACTGTGATGGCGTGTCCCGGCCAGAGCGACGAGACAAAAACATGAAAACCCATTATAAACGAGGCATTTGTTGCATCCAGTGGGGACATAATTATGGATTATAATGACTTGCACTGTCTTTTTACGCATTGCGTTGCATCGCGCCGCGTAAACATAAAACCATGTCTGCATTTGTGATCGGAGAAATGACAACAAACGCTACTCTACACTGCTCAAAAAGCTTGCGTTTGAATCATCAGTGGCAAATGTGACGTGACATGTGACGACCCCGGGCACAGCACCTTCACGACATGGCGGCGGCAGCAACAATACTACAGCGAGAATAAAAGTTACGCCTTCTTTCTTTGCGTGAACATTTGGGCGGCGTTATGCAAATCTTCCCACATCGTGACATAGACATGTGGGGGCGTGTTAGAACGAGCCGTTTTAGGTAGGCATGGTTGACTGTTAACTTTTATAAAGAATATCTCTTTGGATTTGAGACTTTAGTCTTTGCAACTTTACAGATCTTCTTTATGCACCAAGAGCTTGTAACACTCCAAAGAGAAAGGAAAAATTGAAATCGCATCATATGACCCCTTTAAAAAATGCAAAATAAAAATTCATGAGCCCACTTGACCTTTTCATGTGCTAATCTGATACTATATTTGATAAGGATCTATGCACAATGCACAAAATAAATACAAGTACAGTAATCAGAAATAATGTATATAAAAAACAAATCCATCAAGACATTTTCACTTTAAACTGTTGCTTCTGGCCAAAATAATGGCCAGAAATAATAATCCATAATAACACTTCCTGCAGTGATAAAGTCAATTCCTTGCTGTCCTCTCACATCAAAATCCACTAACATATTTGTTTAAAACTGTTTTGGACTGTAAACGGTGCTTGATCTGTCCATATTTCTTTTAACTCTGTCACTGGAGAAAGCAATAGATAGAGGCCTTTATATTTTAGTCAAAAGCAATAGTTTAAAGTTTTGATGGATTTGATTCTAATAAACATGCAGCTTTTTGCTTCACAAGGCATTAATTGATGACCTGGAGTGGTTTGGATTACTTGTGGATTATTGTGATGTTTTTATCAGCCGTTTGGACTCTCGTTCTGACGGCACCCATTCCCTGCAGAGGATCCATTGGAGAGCAAGTGGTGGAATGCTAAATTTCTTCAAATCTGTTCCCATGAAAAAACAAACTCATCTACATCTTGGATGGCCTGAGGGTGAGTGAATATTTGGGTGAACCATTTCTTTAAATTTAAATCATAAATGCAAATAATATTGATTGTTCTAAACTTTAAAGAGACATTTATCTGCAATGTTGAGACATGTACTAGTAAGCAGATAAACTATGCTACGAAGAAACAAAAAACAAGGTAGTAAACACATTTGATTTATTATTACATATAAAATATAAAAACTGTCAGAATGATGTTCAAAATCCAGAAGAGTTCATTCCATAATAAATAAAACAGCAATACATGCAAAATAACACAAGAAAGAATCAATGTTTTAAACATTAAGAGCCAGGTGTCAATCTAAAAATATTCTTTTATTCATGTACCCAAAGAACCAAAATGCAACCGAGACAAAACTCTTCAACTTTTCAGTTCATAAATATTTCTGGGTTTGTTTCTCTGCTCTCCATATTCATTTTGTCCGGATCCAGAATTGTTATGCTCCCTTAGGAATCCAGTCCTCTTTAACAGCCAGGCCTTCATGCTTCAGGAGGAGATGTCCACCACGCACTTGATATAGATGGTGTCATCCTTGCAATAGGCATGCTTAGGCGACTTCAATTTCCCCAGAGGGAAGAACAGGGGGCACCCGCTGGCCACATTCATCTCTGAGACGGGGCGGTGGAAAGATGCAGAGGAGAGGTCGGGACGGAAAGCGTCGATGACGTGCTCCCTCTGGTTCTGATCTATGAGAAAGAACGTGACCTGCCAGGCAGAGATGTCAGCGGAAGGTCACGGAAAATGCTGATGGCACATGACTGAGGAACCAAAGCTGGTCCGTTACAACAGAAGCCACTATTAAAGGGGTCATATCATACATTTATTATTTAATTCTTTGTCCTGAGGTGCACTTAGTAGGTTTTTTGCACCATAAATAGTTGTAATTTAGTTTTTAAAGACCATTTTACATTCTCTCGAGCACTTTGAATGTAATGACCTGCTTTTTGCTGCGTTGTCTTTAACGACTCTATCTAAATGCTTTCTTTAATGTGAAATTGAATGCGAAAAATGTGTTTTTAGTGTTTTTAACTGCCTTCAATAGCAGAATCAAAGCAATCTAAACTAAAATGTGCCACCCAAATTGCTAGAATCAGACTGAAATGCATTTAACTTTTTTTTTAATTTGGCTCAAAAAGTATTACCAACTATAAAACAGGACTTTTTCTGCTTTTCTGACATATGTCTTCATATTACGTGTACTAAACACACACACATGAGATAGTAACGGCCTTCAGTGCTCACTTCTGAGTGCTCACTTCAAGTGTTCGGCCCTCTTGAGAAGAACATACTGATGCTCATTTTACAATGATAATCACTGCAAGACAGAAGCAGGACAGTTTCACATGTGAACAGCATTTTAATCAATCTGGACTTAGGGACAGTTATTTTAGTATTATTTATATAGTATATTTAGTATATCTGAGTATTATTTATATGTATATAGTATTTACTAATATTATGAATGAGCTTTTATTTTGTCATTTTTGCTAGATTTTTTTTAATTATCTGTTTGCCTTTGATTTATTTTTATTTACTTTAAGTAATTTAATACTTATTACAGTTTATTTATATTTTATTTCATTTAAGTAATTTAAAACGTATTATATTTTAGTTAGTTGTCAAGGCAACATTTCTAATTTTCATTCACGTTTTTAGGTTTCAGTTTTTCCATTTATATTTTATTGATATATTTATATATATTATTTGAGCTTTATTCCAATTAAAAATATGTTTAATAGTTTAGTTATAGTTAAGAATATGAATCTAGATAAGATACTATAGGTTTTGTGTTCAAAAATAAATTAAAATGATCAGATATTGCAAGTAACATAGTGATCAATTTGGATTCATTATTCTAAACTCAGAATTCAAATTCGAATAATTTGAACAAATTGTCTTGCTGGACTGGGAAAAACATTTTGAGTTCATTATCATTTACATTTGAGTTCAACGTATCTGCAGTATAATTTCATAATACATCAAAGCTTTTTCTATTTCAAAAGATCAAGGATAATTTGATTCGTCATGATATGACCCCTTTAATGTATGAATTCACAATGTAAGCGTCATTAGCTAAGAGATGACACAGATGTTCAGAAAAGGATTGATTGGTTCACTGATTGACAGCTTGATTATAGCGTTTTACCTTGTGTCTGAATGGCCATGAAAGAATGGGGTCGTATTCTCCTTTCATTATAACAAAGAAAAGAGAGATGTGCGTTCCCTTTCCAACCCCATCTCCGTTCAAGTAGAGTCGCAAGCACACTTTAAATCCATACCTGGCGGTGTAGAAAGCTGAAAAACACAATGCTTTGTCATTTTTATGTGAAGCGTGACGGGCTTTAGTTAAAACTCTTAAAAAATAGCACCCGATAACCAGAGAGCTCCTTTCATCTCGAAAATCAAATGTGTGGCTTCCTTTTTCTGACTGTTGTGTTGGAAGAACAGTTATTCTGATATCCTGTTTTGTAATGACGTGAAAGAAAACAAGTCAATGAAATTATCTTCAGTTGTTCTCTTTCAGTCGTTCTCTTTCTCGGTCATGCTGTCTATTATGGTTGTGTTCACGCAGACACATGACTACTGGGCAAACAACCCCATTTCAGCCTTTATAACTGCTCTACATTTGCTTTTTTCGCTTTCCCTTTCGCTGGCACCAACTCAATTTTTAGCACTGGTCTTATGAATGAGCATCGATTCTACTTCAATATACGATAACAACTAACATTCATTCACCACAGCTCTCCTGATGAGTCCAGTCCAATGCATTGAAATATTCAGTGCTGGCAAAACTGTTTTGCTTCGGCACAAAAGTGAGAAGTGATTGTCAATAATATATTGATTCCGTCAACTGAAACTGCAAATTGAACATGCTTAGAAAAATAAGGCCCAGGGGATCAAGATTTTTCTGAATCACAAGGTGGTCTGTTCCCCACACAAACCATCATATGATTTAGAATATGATGCACAGATCATGTGGGCAGCCCTTAGTCAACATTTATCTTGGTTACAGGTAAAACAACAGCCTGATATGCAGCACAAATAGTGTAGCCCTAATTCCTAAAAAAATTATTCTTTTAAACCAGTTCCCTTTATTGAACCAAAAACACACAGCGCAACCAGTGTAGTTCAATTCACAAACAAATGATTCTTATGAGCCAGTTCTTTGAATGAATCACGCTAGAAGACTCACTAACTCAGGAATTACCATTTGAATCAGTCTGATGGATCTGTTGCTTAATGAACTCACTAAATCCATTACTGAATGACTCACTGAATCCATTCAGAGTGTTAACTGAATCAACATCAAGTCACCAGAATCTTTTAGTGCTGGAATATTTTAATACGATAGACAGAAGGTTTCTTTCAATATACACACACACACACACACTCCTTTTTCTGACTGTTGTGTTGGAAGAACAGTTATTCTGATATCCTGTTTTGTAATGACGTGAAAGAAAACAAGTCAATGAAATTATCTTCAGTTGTTCTCTTTCAGTCGTTCTCTTTCTCGGTCATGCTGTCTATTATGGTTGTGTTCACGCAGACACATGACTACTGGGCAAACAACCCCATTTCAGCCTTTATAACTGCTCTACATTTGCTTTTTTCGCTTTCCCTTTCGCTGGCACCAACTCAATTTTTAGCACTGGTCTTATGAATGAGCATCGATTCTACTTCAATATACGATAACAACTAACATTCATTCACCACAGCTCTCCTGATGAGTCCAGTCCAATGCATTGAAATATTCAGTGCTGGCAAAACTGTTTTGCTTCGGCACAAAAGTGAGAAGTGATTGTCAATAATATATTGATTCCGTCAACTGAAACTGCAAATTGAACATGCTTAGAAAAATAAGGCCCAGGGGATCAAGATTTTTCTGAATCACAAGGTGGTCTGTTCCCCACACAAACCATCATATGATTTAGAATATGATGCACAGATCATGTGGGCAGCCCTTAGTCAACATTTATCTTGGTTACAGGTAAAACAACAGCCTGATATGCAGCACAAATAGTGTAGCCCTAATTCCTAAAAAAATTATTCTTTTAAACCAGTTCCCTTTATTGAACCAAAAACACACAGCGCAACCAGTGTAGTTCAATTCACAAACAAATGATTCTTATGAGCCAGTTCTTTGAATGAATCACGCTAGAAGACTCACTAACTCAGGAATTACCATTTGAATCAGTCTGATGGATCTGTTGCTTAATGAACTCACTAAATCCATTACTGAATGACTCACTGAATCCATTCAGAGTGTTAACTGAATCAACATCAAGTCACCAGAATCTTTTAGTGCTGGAATATTTTAATACGATAGACAGAAGGTTTCTTTCAATATACACACACACACACACACGTTTGTTTCTGTGAATTGTGGGGACTTTCCATAGACTTCTATTACTTTTATACTGACCAAACAATATTTTCTATCCCCTAACCCTAAAACTACCCCTTACAGAAATCCTGTTTGCATTGTTACACTTTCAGATAAACATCATTTACTATTTTGAATAAATTTTATTTGTTAATATTTTTTATCACAATGTCAAAAATTTCAGGTTTTACTATCCTTGAGGGGGCATTTGGTCCCCTCAATGTAGCATAAACAAGTACACACACATACACACATTTGTGTGTGTGTGTGTGTGTGTGTGTGTGTGTGCATAAATGCACAATTTTTATATATACATTTTATATATTTTGAAAGCAAGTTTCTTATACAAATAAGATGATAGACAGACAGACAGATTAGATAGATAGATAGATAGATAGATAGATCTGGAAGATGAATGTATATACATAATATACAGTGGGTACGGAAAGTATTCAGACCCCCTTCAATTTTTCACTCTTTGTTATATTGCAGCCATTTGCTAAAATCATTTAAGTTAATATTTTTTCCTCATTAATGTACACACAGCACCCCATATTGACAGAAAAACACAGAATCGTTGACATTTTTGCAGATTTATTAAAAAAGAAAAACTGAAATATCACATGGTCCTAAGTATTCAGACCCTTTGCTCAGTATTTAGTAGAATCACCCTTTTGATCTAATACAGCCATGAGTCTTTTTGGGAAAGATGCAACAAGTTTTTCACACCTGGATTTGGGGATCCTCTGCCATTCCTCCTTGCAGATCCTCTCCAGTTCTGTCAGGTTGGATGGTAAACGTTGGTGGACAGCCATTTTTAGGTCTCTCCAGAGATGCTCAATTGGGTTTAAGTCAGGGCTCTGGCTGGGCCATTCAAGAACAGTCACAGAGTTGTTGTGAAGCCACTCCTT